GTTTCTGAAGAAATTGGCCGTAAGAATTTCCGTATCTTTCTTCTGAAATCTGTTATGGAGGTGGAAAGACCCTTTCCATCACTCAGACTGCAGAACAGCGAAAGCCAAAGCCAACCGCCATTGAAGATGAAGTTAGCCCGAAGGTCGTCTTCCCCTTCCGAGACTCCGAAGGATTCGCGTCCGCCATTGCAGACGCTCTCCACCCTAGCCCTACCTCTTCTGTTCAAAGAGTGTAAGCAACTTCTCTAATTTTCTCTCGCTCAATTTAGCCTAGATTATCTATTACAGGTCAATTTTCGTTTTCACAGCGAGCAACCATGCGAGCTACCTTTGGATCGTTACGGAATCAGAGATCAGATGATTCGTGGGCTTACCGTCAACTTCATCGACAATGGAATTCATCACGCACCCTTCTTTTAGCTCCTTGTTTCTTCTTTTATTTTAGGTTTTTGCAATTTAATTTGCCAATTCTTCCTTTGGTTCCTTTCTTTCACTCATATGAATTAAGCACCCAATTTTTGTTCAGTATGTTTATTTATTAAATTAAATGAGTATTTAACGACAAGATAGTCTCTAGTTGATGCCTTATTGCATAATTGATAGCCGCATTATTTAGGAAATGTAATTCTTCATTTCTTTATTGAGAGAAATCTCACTTTCTATCAGATGTTAGATGTAATTGTATTTTTTAGATCATTTTCTAGCTTTTTCTCTGATGGATAACTTAAATTCAGAGGATTTTGGTGGTGTTCCTTTGCTGTTTGGCATACAGAATCTTTGAATATGTAATGTAAAGGAAAATCCCTTTCCCAGGTGATTACCCGGTAAAGGGACATTGTTGGACGTCTGTTTCTGTATTTGTAAGTGTTAAATTTCATTAATTTTCAATGGCTTGTGTTGTGTGTGATCTACTGAGAAGATGTTTTGTGTAAGATTGTCCTTTATCATAAAAGTCAGTACTAGAATTGTTCCTCTCCCTTTACGGTTTGGCAAAACCCTACTTTAGCCCCTCATCTTGTTAAGTTTGAAGGTTTTAACCCCTCACCTTATACTATAACATTTTTAACCCCTCACCTTACTAAATTTGTAGGTTTTAGTCTCTTACCTTATATTAGGACACTTTTAGCCCCTCATCTATTAAAATTAAAGAGAATAACCCTCAATTTGTAACATTTTGTTAGTTTTGTTAACTGACTGTTAACTTTATTAGCTGACTGTTAGTTGACTGTTAGCTGTTAAAAATCGTCTTTCAACTAACAGAATTAACAGAACTAATTTTATTATATTTCGTTAATTCTGTTAATTGACTATTAGTTGACTGTTAATTGATAAAAATCTACTTTCAGTTAACAAAATTAATAGTCAGTCTAAACTGAGGGTTATTTTCTTCAATTTTAATAGGTAAAGGGTTAAAGCTTACAAATCTAATAAGGTAAGGGGTTAAAAGTGTTATACTATAAGGTGAGGGGCTAAAATCTTCAAACTTTGTAAGATGAGAGGTTAAAAGTGGGTTTTTGCCTTACTGGCTTTACCTGTGTCAAATACATCTGAAATGTCATGTAGCTGTATGTATAATCTTGGTGATGAAATGATAGTGATGTTGAAGGAGGGATTTGTGTTTTTCCTTTTCTTGACTACAAATATCAAATAATCTACATTTCAGTTTCTTTTCTAAGTAGAATATCTTGATTTTGATAATAAGAGGAGATGTGCTTTTTGGAATGGCTGTGTTTTGCCTACAACATGAACAATTCAATGAAGATGTCTTTAAATATGAGTAAACTATAAATGTCTGGGGTTTCATCTTTCCCATTTAACCTTGTCAGGTCTCAATGGTGCTTCTAGATAATTATGAACCACTGATTTGGGCATGTGCCGTGAATGAAGTTCTTTCTTAGATTTTAGAGACATCATCTAGCATGATCACGATCATAGCTCCCTTTCTTGTGCCATCTTCCAAGCTTAAGTTGGAAAGCAGATCATTGATGAGAAATAGTAGCAAGGTTCCTCTCTACAGTGTTCAAGTAGGTCCAGAAACAGACACAAGCAGAGCAGTAGGCACGAAAACTGATAAGGCGCCTTTGTCATTGCAAACCCGTTATGAGCCCTTAGCTTGCTTACTTCAGCCGGTTAATGTCTTGAAGTTGCCTACTTCTATTCTCATTGGACAAAGAAGCCAAAGTCTTTCTGATAAGGCTTTAAGTGAACACCTGGAGGTATTCATATTCCCTAGCTCCTTTAGTGATGTAGTTATGGTTATACTGAGGAAAGGTTACCACTAATGTCATAAAGCAAATTCACTTTTTGATTGTGCGCATCATTAATTTCTTTTTCTTTTTCTTTTTTTTTTCTATAACATGTACAAGTTTTAAGATTGTTTAGATGTATTTTTATCTCGGGAAAGATTTTACGGACATTCTACAAGATAGGGGAGCTTTTGGAAAGTACCACTTCGTTATGTTTCTCGAAAGATATGTTCTCATGGAGTCCTTCAAAGTCATCCAAAGATGGTGAAGAACCACGGCGTGCGTTATATTGTTAAATCTGAGAACTCTCTGGTTATGTTATATATTTTTGGATACTGTAGGAAGCGCAACCCTTGTTGATCATTTCACCAAGGTCAAACCGTCAAACTAATGGCCGACCGTACTTGTTTTGTAAAGACTTGTTAGTTGTATTATTTTGCAAGTGCAAGTGATGTCGAAGATTCAGGATTTGCATTTCTACTTTTATTCAAAAATAATAAATCATTTCATAATTTCTTTTCGACTTTTTCTCTGCTTTTCTCCCTGTCCTTCACCTCTGCTCACATCGAGGAACTGGGAAATGGATACATCAAAGAAAAATGGGTATAGTTGGTAACAAACATGGTATTCCTTCTCATCAAGAGAATATTAGAATTTATAACTTACACAATAAGATTCAAAATTATTACATATATGATTGTAGGCAATACAATAATTCACTCACAAAGGCCTAAAAATATTAAAGATCTAACCCTCACACCTCATACCATAATTTAATTAAATTAAAGATCTAACCCTCACACGGTATATCATAATCATAATCTAGTATATGTAACTGCCAACAAAGAGACATACACCATAACTAAAAGCTGATTTTAGACAACTAGTAATTGCAATGGACCACTGGAATTGCCGTGCGTTACTAGTGGAATAAGTTTGCTGCCCAATTTTTCACCATACCAAATACTGTGCTGATGGAATTGGATCTTGGGTTGATGGTGATAGGCAATATGGGTTGGGTTAAATCTTGATATAGACTGAGAATAAGGTGTATAGCAAGGAAGGAATAGCCACACAAGCAAGAAGACCAATGCAATATATGGTTTGTTTATGGAAAGAAGTGAAATAATTGCCAAAGAACCCGTCAGGACAGAAATAGTCCTCATAATATCACTCCAATGGTGTGTGCGAGGGTTGGAACCAGCTCTTTGGAACCTGACATTGACAATTAGTGCTATAGTGCACAACATCATCATTACGCAATAGGTAGACAATGCAAAAGAATGCAAGGGCGGAGAGATGACTGGGTATTGTAGTAAAGGAGTGAAGGCGTTAGTAGCAACCCCAATATGACTGTTATGTCAGTAGAAAAGAACTCGCCCAGCCTACAAAGCAAAATCATAAAGCAAAATTTATTAGTAGGCCAAATATAATGAAACTAAACTTTAAGCCAATTTTTGTAGTGGTATTTTCACTGCAAGAAATGGAGATTTTAGATAAAAACACAATGCTTCTCATAAGTTCATCACCATAGCACATCTGAAGAATCCTGGAGAAAAAATAAATAGAGTAACAATTCTTCTTTTTTTTTAATAGAAATACTTATTCTTCATTCTAAATATAAGTGGAAAAAAGAAACTCAGGAAAGAGCACCTGGGCTTCTTCCCAGGTAATTCAATGGGTGCATCCCTAAGTCCATAATCAATTATACTGAGTTAAAAAAAGAAAAAGGAAGAATACAATTACTAAAGCATAACAACTTCAACATATAAAGAAGTTACCTATTGGGAGAAAACATTGTGGGCAATAGATTGAATGCAGGGAATGAGGATGTCTGTCAAAAACAAAACTTTAAGGAAGAGGAAGGGGTAAATATGAGGCAACTGCTTTCCTTTTGGTGCCTATTTATATTAGGTAATGATCATATGCCCACATGGACACCCAATAAAATATAG